GAACCATAAACAGGTTTGAGTATAAACCTTAAAAACGGGAATAACATCCGGATCCAACAGACCTTGAAATGCACCAATAAAAGGTTCATCCGTTGCTGCCAAAACAAGGGGAGCTGGAACGTAATGAGGAGGAAAAGGAAGATGAAAATATATTCTGAAATTTGAGTTTCACACATCTCTGCAAATTCCATCAGGTTCCCCCTCCAGCAGATATGGAAAAGGCGGGGGCAGATTTTCATACTAAAGCGGACTTTTTAATTGCTAAGGACATCTAGAGGGTCCAAAGGTTTGCAAGAGTAAGACGTCTTTTGAAACTGGGAACTAAATAAAAGTTCTATTAAAAGAGGAAAATCCTTTCAGAGATACTCAGGTTTATGTGAACCTAGACTAGTTACAGAAGTAGGAATAACAGCAGAATCCTCTCATTTTAAAGAGAAACGCACAGCCTCAAATAAGAAGACAACTTTTCGATCCTGAGTGAATCACAGCCCAGCTACTGTATCAATTATATGGCATAGTGTTTATGACAAGAACATACCCTGTTTCCCCGAAAATAAGACCTAGTACTATTTTTGGAATTGCTAATATATAAGACCTACCCCAAAAATAAGACCTAGTTGTGACCATTCACAGGGCCGGTGGTGGCATAAGAGGCATAAGAACTTGAAGAGCCACGGGAGAGGCAGGAGAGAATCAGCGGTGCCAACGAAGCCAGCGCTAGAGGAAGCAGAGCCGCATAAGCCGATGCCCCCTCTATAGCGCCACCTCCTGTCACAGGCGGAGTGATACCAAATGCACTCCGCCTGTGAGGAATCGATAGTGAAAGTGCGCTTCGCTCATTCTGGCCAGCGATTGGTTAGCAAATTGCTCTTGGAAAGGTACGGCACCCCTGATTGCCCTGATCACCATATTTTTGTACATGAATACATGTAGACTTTTCTACATGAATAAGTGTGGATTGTTGTACATTAAAAAAAAAAAAAGACCTACCCCGAAAATAAGACCTAGTGTATTTTTCTGAGCCAAAAAAAATATAAGATAGTGTCTTATTTTCAGGGAAACACAGTATTAGATGTATGAGCTGAATCTGTGTGCTTTGTTCCTTAATCCAAGGCAGGAGAGTGTGTGCCCCTGGCATCCAGACAAGTGTTAGCAATGTGTGGCTGCTGAACTTTCACGAGCGCTGCCGCTCCTTACTACGTGAAAACTACGCCACCAATTTACAGGGAAATGGGAAGTCAGTTTCTTTTTCCCAGTAAGCCTGAGCAGAAATAAAGAGCAGAACTCCCCATGTGACTTGAGAAATACATAAAGTATAACATGTACAGGTCACTAAACAACACCTAAGAAGCCTTGAAATGTAAAGGCCACTTGTGACTGGAAGAACCAGAAACATCAGTGTCACCAATATAAATCACAAATATCACAAATTTCTGAGTAAAAACAATAGTAAGACCAGTAGAAAAGGAAAAATATTCACTTTCACACAGTGCCCTACTAATAACAGTTTGTTCTGACAATTCTGCCTCAGATTCAGACATAAAAATACTCACGACTCTTGACCAGTGTGAGATAAAAACATGAGGTACCATCTCCTGCAGACAGCAGACATTTTGAAGATTGACTGTGTAGTATTAAAAATCAGGAACCAGAAAATGTACCGCGTATGCTCTCACATGTGCTGTAGATAAAAATCAAATTACCAAATCAAAGTCCCGGCCTCTTAAAGAAACGACAGGAAACTGAAATGACATCAGTCATACTCAAAATCAAAGCACTTAGCCAAATAGCAATCTAAAGGCACACAGCCAAAGCAAAATGAAAAAGAGGGAAAATACCCAACCTTATAAACATGAGGCAAATACATTTTTCACTCGCGACTCCACGGTCCTGTTCCGGACATAACAGGAATTCCAAGGTTAGTACTAGCCTGACCGATAAATGATGAAAACAGGAATACAGGACCACACCAGGACAAGTCATTAGTACTGAGAACAGAGACAACCTGCATCTTGAAGACCAGAGAAGCTCTCAGGATTTAACATTTTCCGGTATGAATCTCTGTCAGGTTAGCTAGTGAGAACTCCCAGGATTTATTATTATTCAGTATGAACCATCTAGCAGCCCTTTAGCAATAGAATCAGAGGAGGAGACATCCATTCTCCTGAGGACACAAGGCAAAATTGAGTTGGGAGGCGTTATATCCTTAAAGTGAAAGGCTTTTTATTTGTTTGCCTAGGTTCCATTTCTCAGCAGCATAACCCTGTGTCTCAGAATTCTTCAGAGCTGTGTCCCTCAATGGAAGATAGAGAAAAATCACTTTCACACTGTGCCTTGCTAATGAAAGTCTGTGATAAAAATTCTGCCTCAGACAGATTCAGACAAACAGCCATGACTGGCGTAAGGAACAAAATAGGGTACCGCAACCACCTGATGCAGAATGCAGACCAATCCAAGAATGGCTGTGTAATAATAAAAAAAACAGGATATCTCTGTTCTCCCCAATAGGCAAACTGAGGGTAAATAAGAAACAAAAAGGAAGCAGAGTCAAAACTGCACCATTCCACCGTACCTCTGATAGAAATGCACTACAAAGCTCTGAGAACACCAGAAAATCAGACTGCGTATGTTCGCACATGCTCAGCAGATAAAAACAAATGCATCATAAAATCAAAGTCCAGACTTCTTGAAGAGACAGCGGGGAATTTAAAAAAAACTAGTCAAACTCCCTATAAAAGCATTTAGCCAAATAGGAGACTGAAAGCACAAACCCAAAATAAAATAAAAAGGAGGGATAACACCCAAGCTTATAAACACGAGGTAAAATATTTTTATTAACGACTCCAAGGCCCTGTTCCCGACATAACAGGAATGCCCAAGTAATACTGGCCTGACCGTTAAATGATGAAAAGAAGAACACAGGAACACCGAAGGCAAAGCATAAGTACTGAGACCAGAGACGACTTGCTTCATGACCACCGCAGGACGAAGTATAAGTACTGAGACCAGAAATGACTTGCTTCATGACCGCAAGAGAAACTTCCAGGATTTAACGCATCTGGCATGAATCTCAGTTTTGTCAGATAGCTGGAGAGACTCCCAGGATTTAATTATATCCGGTATAAATCCACTAGCAGCTCTCAGTAGTAGGACTTTTAATGAAGAAACAAAATAAACTAAAATAATAAAAGCAGAAGTGAAGGAGACATCCATTATCCTGAGGAAACTGGCAGGTGTGAGGGGGTATGTCCTTAAAGTCATAGGCTTTTAATTTGTTTGCCTAGTGCCCATTTCTCCTACAGGCGGTAGCAGCATTACCTATTGTACATCTCAGAATTCTTCAGAGCTGTGTAGAGAAAAATAAATGTAACCCCTTAGTGACCAGTGACGTACATAGTATGTCACTGGCGGCAGGACTCTGTTTACATTTGTAAAGCCAACTATCGGCTTTGCAATAGAAGGGATTCTCGCGACTCAGCTGCCGCCAGATCGCTTCTACGGTCCGGGAAACTGCCCGCCATTCGGTTCGCCATGTTTCCCTGGCTCCGCTGCCCCTCCTGGAGCCCCGGGACTGGTGTCTCTGTGTGAAGCTGGGGAGGAGAGCGGCGAACGTCCGTTCACCGATCTCCTCCCCGTTCTATGGGACCGGGAGCGACATGTATTGCATCTCTTCCAGTTCCATAGCGGTCTGCACTTCAATAGCTTATTTAGAGTGTAAAGGTGATACTAGGGGTCTTTTGGGCCCCCAGTATCACCTTAAAGAGTACTTGTCACAACCGATCTGCTATCACATGGGGGGCTTGTAAGTCCCCTATGTGATAGCAATTAAAGTAACAAATAAATACAGTTTTTAAAAAAAGAGTGTCAAAAGAAATAAATATAAAAATAAACAATATTTTTTTTTTAAGGTCCTCAACCCACGCAAGCACGCCCATTTTCACGCCCAGAGTGAGAGCAATAATTCTAGGGCCAATATTTATGCGCATCTCTAAACTGATGACCTGTAGAGGCTTTTAAAGCGTCACCTATGGACTTTTTGGGGTACTGAACTTTGTCGCCGTTTCACAGTCGCACACAATTTTTAACATGGACATGTTGGGCATCTATTTACTTGTTGTAAGCTCATCCTTCATATTTTATTAAATGGGTATTTTATTGTGTTTTGGGGCACAAAATGTAACTTAAGTGCATTTTCCCTAACTTTTTGGGTTTGATAATAACTTGCGCTAATATCTGTCAGGAAGCCAGGGACGTCACCTCCCCCCGAGGCCAGAGGGTACCAAGTAGGGTACAGACCACCCTTCCACACCCACGTGCGCCCCGGCAGCTACTGCGCGTGCCGCGCGATGGGTGCACGTGCCCCCCGGCAGCCCGCGACGCGCGCGCAACGCGCATGCACCTGTTTAGGCTTCAGATGTGGGCCTTGCTGGGGGAGGTTCCCCAGCCCACACACACGTTCCGCCTGCCATTGGCCCTCGAGAAGGGGTGGACCCACATCCCCTGGCTATAAAAACCTGGTCAGAGCCCTGGCTCAGTGCTGAGTTATTCCACCTTATGGTGTGACATACAAAGCTTCCTATGTGCCTTGCTACCCGTTTACTGAACTTCCTGCTGACTTCCCGTGTACCGACCTTGGACCGGCCACCGTCTCTGACCCTTTGCTACCCGCCTCGACCTCAGATCTTGCTCGACTACTCCTGTAGATTATCCCTTGGTACCTCGCTTTCGGATCTCTCAGGCCGCTACCTGCCAGTGGGTTCCCTCCTCGCTGCTTCCCTTCAAGCGCACCTGTCAGCGCTTGACAATATCGTGCAAAAAAAATATTTGCAACTGCCACCATTTTGTTCTACAGGGCTTTTTTTCTTGGCTTTCAAAAAATATATGTTTGGGGGTTTTAAGTAATATTCAGGCCTAAAATGTGGATTATAACATGGGTGCAAAAAAACAGGGGGGGAAAAGGCCTTGGTCATGAAGGGGTTAAAGTTAATGGCATCTCTTACCTCCAAGTCACTTTCTTTGGTCCTCAACTCATGTTTGCTTTTCTTTATTGCTTCTAAATGAAGGCGGAGCTTTTCCTCGTAGTGTTTCTTATGCCGCTTACAGTATCCTACCTCCAACTCCACCTCATGGAGTGCTTCCTGCAAAAACAATATTAGAAAAAAATCAGCACTGGACAAATTTAACCCTTTCGCTGCCAAGCCCTCCGGAACATTTTTCAAATCAGCTGGCCAAGCCATTTTTGAATTTTCTGCAATTTTTTCCTAATAACTAACACACTTAAAACATTACAGATGCAGACTTATCTTTGCAGCTGGCAATGGAAGAACATGGCCAAAGGCTCTATAATTTTTGTCTGCCAGTTCTTGAGTCAAAATGAGTTTTGCCCCCCAATTCCACATCTGAAATAAATCTACCAGCCAGAAACTATTAGTTGCCTGTCTTTTGCTCTGACCGAGGGAAGTATGCAGATCAGGAAAGTTGGAATAAATTCAGAACTCTGCCTACTTCTTCCAGGTCAGTGACTCAAAGTACATGACAGCCAGGCCAATAGCATATGAGGTAAGGTATGGCAGCCTCTATGTTTCCCCTATTTACAGTTTTCCTTTATAAACTCCTACAAATAAAACAACCTGATAATGCTGTCCAGGAAACAATCCAACAATGCTCATGTTAGATATCAAGATGTAGAGGCTTTTTACACTGTAGGGGATTGAACCTAATTTCAAACTGTTTCTGTGCACTCTTTCATGTGACTGGATAATACAGAAAATGATTACTTCAAGTCATTGTTGCAGGGGCACAGGGAATGTTTTGCTTTTGTATTGCGTGAAGCCTTTCCATACACACCTTGCTTTGAAGCTGGTTATGAATTGATGAGTACGTTTGCCATTTGTATTGCCCGATCTACCACAGTTCTCACTGGTTCCACCCGCCGACCTCAACATTACCGTCTCCTGTAATGATGTGAAGATTGGCAGGAGGAACCAGTGAGATCTGTGGAGGACCAAGACATCAACCATCCCAAAAGTGTCATTTTCTCTGACTTGGGCAGAAGATTTCTAAAGACTGGAGAGATATTTGGCAGCGCAGACAGAGGGAAAGGTAAGTACCTGCAGCCTTTTTTACAGGTATAGCTTATTGTGGATATGTGTCCTATGGCTTCTAAGAAGGCAAGAATCTTTACCGTAGGTTCACTTTACTTTTTCATAAAAAAAAAAACTAAATAAAAACAAAAGTGCCATAGTATATACCTTTACCGGATCCTTCCACTCAGACACAGAATTGATTTTAATTTTTATCTCAACATACTGCCCCTCGGAGTTCAAAAGCAGAGATCTGAAATGTTCCATGCGCTCCCGTTCCTTCGCCATCTCAAGTCTGTCATGCTCATTCTGGCTCTTGTTCTCCTGTAATTCACTTTCCTGTTACACAGAAAAAATAAATCCCATGCTGGAACCACCAAAACCCATTCATTGTAAAAGCATGATATATGCAAGAATAGTCCGATAAATATATCCAAATCTAGCTGTGAATCATTAACATTTGACACATAGGGCAGTTTCATAATAGCACATATCCATATCTGCTTTCCGTTATCTTCGCTTTGATCTGCATTCTACACTCCTTTAATAAAATGCAGGCTGTGGTGTGAAATCAGTGATGCTCACTGCAACAAAGCAGAGAGAACTCAGTGAGTGGATGAGATTAATGTGACTTTAAAAAGTCAGATCACATGACCAGGATCTGCTTTTTTTAACAACTTTTTCTCCATACATGTACAAATGTGTGTGGTTTTTATCCTGCAGTTGTATGGTTTGTAGAACGGCCATACTCTGCTGCTTTTCAAATCGTGGACATGTAAATATGAAAAGGTAACACTGACAAGATATGATTCTTTTGTTCCTGATTGAGAGTTATTTGCATATAAAATAATCATCTCACCAATGTTGAAATGTCAATAGAAGTCTGCTCCTCTACACTTTCCAGATCGGCTATACGAGCATTAGCTTCTCTGAGCTGGCCCTGTAACAATACAAGAAAAAGTAAGAGTCACAAATCATGAATGGATTTATATTCTTTACTTCCATATTACACCAATTCTCATTTACTACCCTCCTTGTTATTAAACAAACAATGCAAAAATGACTTTCCCCGCTAGTCAGCTCAGATGATTCAAAAACATCTGACAAGCGTTGGAAAGACTAAAATAGTAACAAGAATAGAATATAGAAACTACAAAACCACCACAGAACATATAATAAGAATCGAAGATGTCAGCGTTCACAGGACTCAATATCAATAACTTTGCTTCTTAAGGGCAGGGACCACAAGGTGTCATGAAATTGCTGCATAACCCCTTCATGTACACTTTTCTATGCTAGCCTGAAATTGGAAGCATTTTCTGAAATGCTTCTAATTTCAGGCTAGCATAGAAAAGTGGCCTTCACTTTACAGTTCTAAAGTTTGAACTCCCCTCACCAGAAAGTATCAATAAAGGACTAATTTTCCATGGGGTCATTGGTTGGCATTGGTGTGCCCCAGAGTTCCATCCTGGGGTCATTGCTGTTCAACCTGTTTATTAGGATATTGGGACTGGGATTATTAGCAATATTGATGTTTTCGCTGACGTTACCAAAATTTGTAGGGTAATAAACTCGACAAAGCATAGCAATAATACAGGAGGATTTACATGACAGATGATGTTTAATATTAAGAATGGTAAAGTTATGCACTTTGTAGTTAAAAATACACATGAAAGCTATTAATTAATGGGCATTCCACATGGGGGAATCAGAGGTGGAAACAGATTTGGCAGTCCTAGTGGACATTTGCCTTAGTAACAGCATGCAATGCCAGGCTGCAGTAAATAAGACAAGCAGCGTACTATCATGCATAACAAAAAAAGAGAATGTACTCCAAAGACAAATCTATAATTCTGCCTTTTTACAAAACACTGTTTTGGCCTCATCTTGAGTATGTGGTTCAGTTTTGGTCACCGATCCACAGAAAGGATGTCCTTGAGCTGGAGTGAGGCCAGTTAAACACCCAGGCTCTTCTACTACAAAGCCATGTCGTTGTCATAGATGCAGTATGTGGTTTATCATTGTCCTGCTGAAATATAAAAGGCCTTCCTTGAAAAAGACGTTGTCTGGATGGGAGCATATACTGCTCTAATACCTGGATATGTCTTTCAGCATTGATGGCACCTTTCCAGATGTGCAAGCTGCCCATTCCATACACACTAATGCACCCCCATACCATCAGAGATGCAGGCTTTTGAACTGAGCGCTGATAACAAGCTGGAAGGTCTCTCTCCTCTTTAGTCCAGAGGATGTGGTGCCCATGGTTGCCAACAAGAATGTCAAATTTGGATTCGTCTAACCAGAGAACAATTTTCCACTTTGTGACAGACCATTTTAAATGAGCTTTGGCCCAGAGAAGACGGCGGCCTTTTTGGATTATGTTCAGATATGGCTTCTTCTTTGTATGGTAGAGCTTTAACTTGCATTTTTGGATGGCACGGCAAGCTGTGTTAACAGACAGTGATTATTGGAAGTATCCCTGAGCCCACGCAGTGATGTCCATCACAGAATCATGCTTGTTTTTAATGCAGTGCCGCCTGAGGGCCCAAAAGATCACGTGCATCCAATATTGTGTTTCGGCCTTGTCCCTTACGCAGAGATTTCTCCAGATTCTCTGAATCTTTTGATATTATGTACTGTAGATGATGAGATATTTAAAAGTCTTTGCAGTTTTACATTGAGGAACATCATTCTGAAATTGACAGATTGGTGAACCTCTGCCCATTTTTACTTCTGAGACACTCTGGGGGGAATTTATCAAAACTGGTGCAGACAAAATCTAGAGCAGTTGCCCAGGGCAACCAATCAGCTTCTTTCTTCAATTTGTTAAGCTAAGATCTCTAAGATCTGATAATGAAAGTGGGATGCTGATTGGTTACCATCCACAGCTGCTCCAGATTTTGTCTTCTGATAAATTCCCCTCTCTGACTCTGTAAAGGTGCCCATACACCTTACAACCATCGCAATACTTTTGTCTTGCAATGGTTGTAAGCTAATTAAAAGCTTGTACGAGCTGCCCATCTTGGACAGGCAGATCGTACTTGCGATCATCGCAAGCCCGCCCCCCTGAGGGGCGGGCTTGCAATGACTGCAATGAGGGGCGCGTTTCCGATGACTGCAAACGGGCAGTGTGCGCGTGCACACACCGGCCCATTCGGCAGTTGTCGAACAAGCAGGCCACTAACCCACCGAGAATCGTATGATGCACTCAAGCCTTACATCACCAAGTGCAAAGCAAAGCGTCGGATGCAGTGGTGTAAAGCACGCTGCCACTGGACTCTAGAGAAGTGGAGACGTGTTCTCTGGAGTGACCAATCACGCTTCTCTGTCTGGCAGTTCGATGGACATGTCTGGGTTTACCATTTGCCAGGAGAACGGTACTTGCCTGACTGCATTGTGCCAAGTGTAAAGTTTGGTAGAGGGAGGGGATTATGGTGTGGGGCTGTTTTTCAGGGGTGGGGTTTGGCCCCTTAGTTCCAGTGAAGGGAACTCTTAAGGCATCAGCACACCAAGACATTTTGGACAATTTCATGCTCCCAACTTTGTGGGAACAGTTTGGGGATGGTCCCTTCCTGTTCCAACATGACTGCGCACCAGTGCACAAAGCAAGGTCCATAAAAACAAGGATGAGTGAGTTTGGGGTGGAGGAACTTGACTGGCCTGCACAGAGTCCTGACCTCAACCTGATAGAACAACTTTGGGATGAATTAGAGTGGAGAGTGCAAGCCCGGCCTTCTCGTCCATCAGTACCTGACCTCACAAATGTGCTTCTGGAAGAATGGTCAAACATTCCCATAGACCGTCTCCTAAACTTTGTGTACGCCTTCCCAGAAGAGTTGAAGCTGTTATAGTTGCAAAGGGCGGAGCCAACTAAATATTGAACCCTACGGACTAAGACTGGGATGCCAATAAATGTGCGTGTAAAGGCCAGCGTCCCACTACTTTTAGCAATATAGTGCACTTGGCCAGCTTTTTGTTGCCATCCCAACTTTTTTGTGACGTGATGCTCCCATCAATTTTTTCTTAAAATGGTACATTTTCTCAGTATAAACATCTGATACGTTTTCTATTGTGAATAAAGTATGGTTTTATGAGATTTGCAAATCATTGCATTCTGTTTTTAGTTAGATTTTACACAGCGTCCCAACTTTTTGGGACGCTGCTTCCCTATTTATAATGGTCTGGCCCGCTAGCAACTTCAGCACAAAATTATAGCTAATTAGCCTACAAACGCCAGGTGGTCATAATAATCTGGCCACTCAGTGTATCTATCTATCTATCTATCTCTCAATTATATATATAACTGTTTACCACGACAGTAGAAGTGATTTGTTTCTGAAGATACGGGTAAACAACGCGATTTAACAGCCTTTGAACGTGGGATGATTGTTGGCGCTCGGAGCCATGGAGCGAGTATCAGCAAAACAGCAGAATTCGTTAAATGTTCAAGAGCAGCGGTTGTTAAAGTATTTAAAGGCTGGACTGTCAGCCGAAAATCTGGGTCTAAACGTGTGAATTGTGGCCGTCAGCGACTAGTCAATGTTAGGGCAGAACGGAGAGTGGCAAGACTGGTACAAGACAACAGAAGGGCAACAGTGCAGTGTCAGATTCCTCGCATCACCTTCCAACATCTCGTGGCGTCACGAGGCGGCCCAACGAAGTCATCTCGTGGCCCAACTAAGTACTGATGGAGTGGTCATAATAACCTGGCCACTCACATAACATAACATAACATATATATATTATAGTGAGGAAAATAATGATTTGATCCCCTGCAGACTTTGTAAGTTTGCCCACTTGAGCAAATGAATAAATTTTTTTAATATGTGTATTTTAAATGATAGAGACAGAATATCAACCAAAAATCCAGAAAAAAACCCACATGATACAAATATTATAAACTGAGTTGCAGTTCAGTGAGTAAAATAAGTATTTGATCCCCTATCAACCAACAATAATTCTGGCTCCTCCAACAGACTGGCTATGTGGTACACAGATTAGTTCTGTCACTTTAAGAAGGTGCTCTTAACAACAACTTGTTATGTATATAAAAGACACCTGTCCACAGAATCTCTTTCTTCCATTCAAACCGCACCACCATGGGCAAGACCAAAGAGCTGTCAAAGGACGTTAAGGACAAGTTTGTAGACCTGCACAAGGCTGGAATGGGCTACAAGACTATCAGCAAGAAGCTTGGTGAGAAGAAAACAACTGTTGGAGCGATTATTCGGAAATGGAAGGAATACAAAATAACCATCAATGGCCCTCGGTCTGGAGCGCCATGCAAGATTTCGCCTCATGGGTAAAGATGATCATGAGAAAAGTGAGAGATCAGCCCAGAGCTACACGGGAGGAGCTTGTGAATGATCTCAAGGCAGTTGTGACCACGGTCACAAAACAAACCATAGGTAACACAATACACCGCCATGGATTGAGATCCTGCAGCGCCTGCAAGGTCCCCCTCCTCAAGAGGGCACATGTACAGGCCCGTCTGAATTTTGCAAATGAATATCTAAATGATTCAGAGAAGGATTGGGAGAAAGTGCTGCGGTCATATGAGATACATTATGCTTTGGGGTTGTTTCTCTGCTAAAGGTACAGGCCAACTTTGCCGCATTGAGGGGCCAATAGACTGGGCCATGTATTGTAATATCTTGGATGAGAACCTCCTTCCCTCAGCCAGAACACTGAAGATGGGTCGTGGATGGGTCTTCCAGCATGACAATGACCTAAAACATACCGCCAAGGCAACAAAGCAGTGGCTCAGGAAGAAGCACATTAAGGTCATGGAGTAGCCTAGCCAGTCTCCAGACCTTAATACTATAGAACATTTATGGAGGGAGCTGAAACTTCGAGTTGCCAAGCGACAGCCAAGAAACCTTAAGGATTTAGAGAAGATCTGTAAAGAAGAGTGGACCAAAATCCCTCCTGAGATGTGTGCAAACCTGGTAACCAACTACAAGAAACGTCTTACCTCTGTGCTTGCCAACAAGGGTTTCTCCACCAAGTACTAAGTCATGTTTTGCTTGGGGATCAAATATTTATTTTACTCGCTGAACTGCAACTCAATTTATAACATTTGTATCATGTGTGTTGTTTCTGGATTTTTGGTTGATATTCTGTCTCTATCATTTAAAATACACCTATGATAAAAATTATAGACCCTTCATTTCTTTGTAAGTGGACAAACTTACAAATAATTATTTTCCTCACTATATATTAATAGACATACATACATACATACATACGACATATATATATATATATTACAGACACTATATATAACTGTATTTTTGTCCACACTTGTTGTGTTATTTAAAAAAAAAAAGTTTGCTTATTTTATTATATTGGAGTTTTACAATTCATAATATTTTGAATCCATTAAACTAATTATAATGTCTAATATAATACATACAATTATTAAAAAAAGATGGGAAAAGTTTGGGCCTGAAAAATTCTGTTGCGGGATGCGAGTTGTGGTGACATTCATTTTAATGGCTCCCCCAAACAAACCTCACGCCCACACTGGAGCGCACAATACTGCAATGACATTGCAAAAATTGTGCATGCAGTTTAATGCTAAAATAAACTTTATGTTTTTAACACTCCATTGTGTATTTTATTTTAAAAAAAAGATGGTATTTTGTATCTATTTATTCAATCAAAAAAATAATCGGCCAACTAATTGATTATGAACATAATTGTTAGTTGCAGCCTTAGTAAATATATGTGAAATGTCATGTTATATTCTCAGCACAACTGATTATAAAAGGGACATGCAGCAGGATGTAGGCACGTATAAAATGTGTAATTCATGTGTGTCACCCTAATGGGGAACACAGTCCCTATGCAGGCAGGATCACAGATGCAGCACAAACAGTTATCACAGTTGCAGAAACACAGTGACCACATCAAGGCAAAAAGTGAGTGACAAACATTTTATAGCCCAGGCACAGTAAATTACAGCGCTAAGGACAGAGCAGAGCCCTGCTGGTGAGTGTACATCAGTGAATGCGCTGGAAGCTGGCCACAAGTAGTAAACATTTAATACTCATATGTATTATTTCATATTTACATGACTATAAATAAAACTGCTCCGCAACTTACTTGTATCCTTTTCTTTGTGTCATGATGCAGACGTAGAACGTCTTCATTTTTCCTGATGTCGTTGTCTAAGAAAAAACCCCTTTGATGGACTGTGGATAATTGGGAGGCCAAATTACCAATTTCTCCTTCCAGGTGACTGCAGAAAACAATGTATTAAAGATCCATTAAAAGAAGCATCATAAAAAGTGATTGGTAAAGATTTGGTTTTATGTTACTATCAAAAAATATCCCTAGACCCTAATCATGAAACTAGCAGCCTTGTAACCAGATACTTTAATAATCCCATTGTTCATATTACCTAAAGGTCTAATTAACCCTTTCCCGACCAAGGCCTTTGTTTCCATTTTTGCACACATGCTATAATCCACATTTTAGGCCTAAAAAAATCACTTCAAACCCCCAAAATAGTATATATTTTCTGAAAGCCACCACCCTGTAGAATAAATTGCACTCTTGTTAATTTTGGTGCCCGAAAACACAGCAAAACACCCATTTTGTTGTAAAATATAAAATGTGAAGTTATAACAAGTAAATAGATACCCAACATGCCCAGGTTAAAAATGGTGTGCGTCCATGAAGCTGTGACAAAATTCAAGACCCTAAGAAGCCTAAAACCACGTTTTAAAAGCCCCCACAGGTCATCAGTTTAGATATACGCATAAATGTTGGCAGTTGAATTATTGATCTGACTCAGGTGTGCGTGGCAATACCCAACATGTGCAGCAGGACCAACATTTTTGTGCGTAGGAGCACCCAACACGTGTTTGTGTAAATGTGCGCATGCGCTGGGGCACTTTAACAACATTTTAAAAATTATTTCTACATTTATTTTTTTAAACTTTTTATTTTTACTTTAATTGCTATCCCATAGGGGGTCTTACAAGCCCCCCATGTGTTAGCATATTGGCAGTGACAGGTCCTCTTTTAAGGTGATGCTGGGGGTCCAAAAGACCCCCAGTGTCACCTTTCTACTCTAAATAAGCTATTGAAGTGCAGATAACACTTCAATAGCTAATTGCTGGGTTTCAGTAACCCAGCAATGACAGCTATAGGACCAGAAATGATGTATTCCGCGTCGCTCCTGGTCCCATAGAGCGAGGAGGAGATCGGTGAACGGAAGCCAGCTTTACAAAGGTAAACAAAGTCCCGTCGGCCTGAGTCTGTTTACAGGGCCGTGCTGCCCATTACATACTAGACAAGTCTGTGGCCTGCAAAAGGGTTAAAGAAGAACTCCAGGGAAATAAAATGCTTACCGCTGCAGTGGGGTTAACAACGCAGTGCTAGGGTTAAGCGCTTGTTTGGTCTGGGGGCGCAAAAAACAAAAGCATTATTACTCTTCTGATCCTCAGTCCCTCCAGGCTGCTAGAGGGGTCCCCACAGACTCTTCTCCCCTGGGCTCTGCACCTGCATTAGATGCAAGGTTGCTGAGGGACATTCCACAGCCGGAGCAGAGGTGAGCCCAGACCAGCACAGAACAGATACCAGGTGAGTAAAACTGCTCTGAACCATAACTTCACTACAAGGATATGTTTTTTTTTTTCTACACGGAGTTCTTTAAAGGGAACCTGCTCCAAGCAAAATACTGATTTGCCATTGCTGCCTTCCCTCTGAAAATGCTAGCTTTCTGGCTGTCCGTCTACTATTTTAACCCCTTGCTGACCGGGGTGTTTACACCCCCTTCCCATCCAGGCCATTTTTCAGTATTCAGCGCTGCGGTACTTTGACTGACATTTATTCCGTCATGCAGCGCTGTACTGAAATCACTTTTATACAATTTTTTGGGGACAGATAGAGCTTTCTTTTGGTGGTATTTAACCAGTTGACATCCGCGGTGTTAAACCCCCTTCCCATCCAGGCCATTTTTCAGTATTCAGCGCTGCGGTACTTTGACTGACATTTATTCCGTCATGCAGCGCTGTACTGAAATGAATTTTATACCCTTTTTTGGGGACAGATAGAGCTTTCTTTTGGTGGTATTTATTCACCACTGGGGGTTTTATTTTTTTACTATATTAAGGAAAAATTACCGAAATTAAAAAAAAAAAACAGTTTCCCCTATATTAAATGATAAAACATTTATTATTACCCAATTTTTTGGTAAAATATAAAAGATGGGGTCACGTCGGGTAAAAAGACACTAAACATGTCAAGCCTTAAAATTGCGTGCGCGCGCGAAACCTCAAAAAACGATAATACCCAAAATTGGCCTGCTAGGGGGCGCGCGCGAGCAGAAAAAAATTGCCGTCTGGAGACGGCAACCCGCAGATGCTGCAGTGCCGTCCGTCCGTTTTTTTACTACGGGCGGATGGCAAGAGGTTAATCATCACTGGGATTTTATTTTTGACTATATAATGAAAAAAGTCCTGAAAATGTTGAAAAAAACCTGTTCTCCCTACGTTATGTTATAAAACATTTATTATTACCCAATTTTTTGGAAAATATAAAAGTCGGGGTTACGTCGGGTAAATAGACACCAAACATGTCAAGCTTTAAAATTGCGCGCACCCGCGAAATCGCAAAAAACTACCACACTCAAAATTGACCATAGCCGACGCTTTAAAAGCTTTTACCGCTCATCAGTTTAGTGTCATCAGTGATTGATGACCCTAGAATTATTGCTCTCACTCCGACATTCGCGGTGATATGTAACATGTGCGGCGCAATGGATGTAATCGGCGTTTACATACGTAGGCGGGCTTGACGCATGTTTGCGTGTGCATGTGGGGGCGGGGGACTTTAATTTTTTTTTATTGCTTTGATATGCGATTTTTAATTTTTACATTTTTTTGTAACAAATTTTTTTAAACCTTTTTTTTTTCCACTGAACTTTATTGCTATCACATAGGGAGCAAACAAGCTCCCTATGTGATAGCCACATTGCAGTGACAGGTCCTCTTTATGGAGACATCAGGTGTCTTTAAGATCCCTAATGTCACCTAGGGACCCCCAGAGAAGCTGATGAAGCAGAGACCTGCTTCACCAGCTTCTCTACGATTTCTGTACCGGAGAGTGACACTGAATGCAGGAAGTGATGTAATACACATCACTGCCTGCATTCAGAAGAGATCAAACGGAGGTAAGCAATGGGTTCCTCAGGAAATATTTCCTTTAATATTTAGGTCACAAATGCATTATATCAGGGCTCAAAATTTCAAGTTCTGAGCTACTAGCCAGGCCTTAAGAGTTACTCGCCACCAGTTGCCCCACCTAACCCTTACCCTGCCCGTAACTCCGCCCCTAAACACACCCTCTTAAATAATCTTATGATCATTCTTACCTTATGATAGTTGCAGTTTGTAAATGGCAGATTAGGGATTCCTGCTGCAGGAAAACGCAAGTTCCTGATGCAGGAATCCCTAATCACACCTGAAATATACTGTAGGTGTGAATGGGGCCTAATATACACATACACTAAAACACAATAATACACTTCTCAGCGTTACACCCCCCCCTCCCCCCTTGCTAACAATCCTGACTGTTGCATTCCATCAACCCACCAATCAAGGACTGCTCCCCTGAATAAAACCCTCACCTTAACTTTAGCTCCAGTATTTCTAATTCACTTCCACCGTCAACACTATTAAAATTCTGTGGCATAGTATTTCACCCCTGCTTCATACTTCTGCAGCTGTGATCCTCTACCATAACAGACCTGTGGGGTCTGATCGTTACAGTTACACCTCCACCCCGCACAAATATAATAATAAAATTCCCCCACACACATAAAATAATACGCTGCCCCTATTAACCCCCCACACATAAAATAATATACTCCCCCCTTATTAAACCCCCCCACACACACATATAAAATAATAATGGTTATCTGCTGCAGACCTCACTAATACATTCTTTCTTTCGGCCGGAGCTCAGAACTGTCGGAGCTCCGGCCGAAGGAAGCCAGAGCTAACAGGAGCTGCTCTGAGGTCTGCATCCGACACAGATGCAGACCGTGGAGCTGCTCACCCAAGTCAGGTGAGACAGCGCGCCTGACATATCAGCTGGCTGCGGGCGACATAGTACCGGCTCGCGGGCCGGAGTTGGCCCGCGGACTGGTACTTGGAGACCCAAATTTCCACTCGCCCTCACTTTATTTTTACTCGCCAAATGCGAGCAGGCGAGAGGAAATTTTGAGCCCTGCATTATATGACATATCCACAAACACAAACAAAAACCAATGATGTACCCACCCGATCTCCATTTCCACATCTCGGCTCAGGTATCTGGCTCGGTTGAAGTCTGATGAATAGTTTTTAAACACTTGGTCTCCATCCGCAGTAAAAGCTTCTCTACAGTTTCTAGGTGGTTGTCTTCTCTGCATCACATCTCGAGCCTCACTGTTATTCTGATAACAGATCATCAGTACAACATTGTAAACACAGGCATTTCTTTTAAATCCTATACATCCTTCCTTAATAATATAAGTATATTAATATGTAAGTTATAGTTTTGTTTTCTTAACACACTTTCACCTCCATTGAGGATAATTCCCAAGTGAGTTAATGATGGATTTATAGTCAGAAGAAAAGGTGAACACCATCCAATGTGAGAGCCAGGTTTTCCTAAAGGCCTCCTCCCTACGATAGAGAGTTGCTGTTAGATCTTGCATGGTACAAAGCCCTTGGATCTTACGAAACCAAAGAGCAAGGGAAGGAGGAGAGGTCTGCTTCCAGAATGGCAGACACGCTCCTGCTGCATTAATCAAAGGTATCAAAAGGGATCGCTCCGGCGTCTTAGTATACCGCGAGCTGTAGCTCGCGGTATACTGAGCTTAGGGTAACGGGAGGACGCTAGTTTGTGTCCTCCCGTTACCCTAAGGAGAACTATGGGGAAAAACACTGACCCCATAGTTCTCCTTTAATGTCTCCATATAGGAAAGCGGTTTTAACATCTATGGGTTTCAATTGCATGCCCTTCCCAGCTGCGATGCCTAGGAGTGTTCTGATGGTTTATTGTTTTACGACGGAAGCAAATGTTTAATCGTAGTCTTCTCCAAATTTCTGGGAGTATCCCTTGGCAACTAATCTGATTTTGTATTTGAGGATATTTCCTTCTGCATTAAGCTTTACCTTAAACAGGGGTGTGGAAATTTTTGAAAAAACTACTTGTCCAAGGACTAAAGCGGGGGCCCGATCTACTTGTCCCTCATGACAATCTACTTGTCATGATACAAAAAAATGAATTCTACCCAAACCGTATTTAGCAGTGCCAAGAAGAGTTTCTCATTGGTCAGTGGCGTCAGGTGACTGCGCTGACCAACGAGTGCTTGCAATTTGCGAGCGAAATTCAGAATACATGGCACAATTACAGATAGTACACCCATATTGGCGGATGGGAAGGACCGTACCCTGAAAGGTAAGTAAAGTGGGAGGGGGCCAGATTTGAGCAGGTAATTCCATCTTTCCAAATTACTTGGGAAAGTGAATTTACCCTTTAGGGCTGGTGCAGACTTGGGCGATCGTGTGCGGTTGCATGCAGCAGTTGCCACGTGGCCCCATTGATTTCAGTGGAGTTACATCCGTGTGGCAATTACTGAAAAAAGGTACATGTACCTTTTTTCGCAACACGCACCATGCAGTGTTTTCAACCGTGATTATGTCTGATTGCACGGGCGGTATTGTGGCGGGAAACCAGGCATGACTGGGGTGCCATTAGACAATAATGGCACGTCAGTGCGATCGGCGGTGGTATGTGATTCTGTGACCGCTAGGCCATCCACACGATTTTGTGCACAATTGCCGTGCGGTAACGGATCGCCCACTCCAATCACACACGATACCCCATGCATGCAGATGGTGGGTGCAGCTGGGTTTTTATTTAATTTTTTTTTTAAACTAATGTAATATTGGTTATTTTTAATTCTCATTTATTTTAATTTTTTTACTTTATCAACGTTTTATTTTTTCCATTTTTATGTATTTCCATTTTTAATTGTCATGTATTTTTTTACTTTTTTTTCCCCACTTAACTTTATTGCTAAAAAAGCCCCTGTGTGAAAGCATTTGGAGGTGACAGGTTCTCTTTATTGACCCTGTCCCCTCCAACACAGGAGTTCTAGCACAGTACTGTGCTCGTTCCCCTGTGACAGGAAGGCTGCATTCCTGTATCACTGCACACACTTTCTTTGCTCCGTGCTGTAACCTAATCTAATTTGCCTTGTCCCGGGTCCCACACAAGAGGGGGGGACCCCGAAGACCAGGGCAGAAAAGAAGCCAGCGTGCAGCCAGAGACAGCCGGGAGAGGTACAGAGATAGATAGATAGATAGATAGATAGAGAGAGGAGAGGGAGGGAGGAGGAGAAGGGAGGGGGAGCGAGGGGAGTGAGATTCAGGCTCGTTACAGAACCACTTGTACGAAACGGCTCCCACGCTACATTTAGCCGTGCTGCTTGCCCGCAGCCGTGCTAAATGTAGAAAAAAACGACTCGCCCGACGCCCGGAACTGCCTGTCCCGGGCGTCGGGGCGATAGGAATTCCACACCCCTGCCTTAAAAGTCCATTCGCTTCCTATAGTTCTGCGATTGGGTGGAAGCTCAGTGAGTGTCCAGGTTTTAATTTCTTGGAGTGATCTTATTTCTTCTGCTGCTGCCTTTCGCCATTGATTGGCTTTGCGTTTTGGTAATTTTCCATGATGCGCCTGCAGTTTCCTTGGTACTTAAGCTAATTTTCCTTTAGTGTATTCTAGTGTTAGTTCCTGCTCAGGTCTGGTTTCTAGAGTGTTAATAAAAGCACTCTTTGACTCTGGAAGGCTGCATAGCAGTACCGCTACCACATGGTTAGCTTTAACTTCTTTTCTTATGTGGAGGAGCTGGTCGTCTTCCACTAGCAGACTTATAATTGCTCCAGCGTCGCTGCCTCAACAAGCCACATTTCTTGAGAGTGGGTCAGAGGCTCCAGGAACTTTGTCAGAGCAGTCGCAGGGGGGTGGAATGGGAGCCCCTAGCCTTCCCCTTCCTTGTCCTCTTGACGTTTGCAGTGGATGGCAGCAAATCAAGTCGGATTAACAGCGGTGGCCACAGGAGCACAGGAGAGCTGCTGCTCACAGCTCCATACCCAAGCCACACTCTACCCATCCCATATGCAGATATTTTATTCACACCATAGTTGTTGGTTTTCTTTTTTACATTGAATGATAGACCAAATTGAAAAAAATCCCTACAATCCATGGTTCTTAAGTCAGTGCACAGACAGGAAAAGTGATTAGCAGATCATCACAGTAATATGTATTTAGCAAAGCAAGATTAGATACCTTAATGAGCAGCACAGTTTCGATTCCCCTCATATCAATCAGGCAGTTAGCAGCCACAGGGTTATCAATCTCTATAGCCGTCAATACAGTTGGGTATAGAGGATGGCAAACAGCACTAAATAAAAATATAAGTATGTCAGCTCTAAATGCAGAACATGTTTTTTATTATTATTATACAGGATGTATATAGTGCCAACAGTTTGTACAACGTTTTACAATATAAGGAAGACATTACAATCACAATATAATTCAGACAAGATGGTAAGGAGAGCCCTGCCCCTGAGGGCTTACAATCTTAAAGGGAGGGAGAAGTGATACATGAGGAGGTAGCTGTGTGGGGATGAATTGTTCGAGAACATGATGGTTCAGTGGGGATAGTTCTTAAAGTTGAACTAGTCAGAAGCAAAATATAAGTATCATGTGCAGCCCCTGCCCCACTCCTTCCCAGATAGCAAGGTTTGACAACTTGATCAGTCTAGGGGTGTGTAGACCAGAGGAATATAAGCCTTATACATCATTCCTGCGGCCTTATTCCTTGCCATGCAACCAGTCCCATAAAGCCACTGGCCTCTGTAATATCACAAACAATGAGGGTCTGCCCACATTCCATAAAACTATAGGAGGAGCACCAGCTGCTGGCAGGAGAAATAGGGTAAATATTAGACATGTGCGATTCGTTTCGTTCCGAATCTAAATTCGGACGAATTTTCGGAAATTCGGATGTATCCAAATTCCGAATTACAGACATAACGAATGCAAACGAATCCGAATTTCCATTTCCGAAATTCGGTAGCGTTAGGACGAACGTTCGTTTCGTTTTCTGTTCTTATTCGTCTCTTATTCGTTTCGTTTGTTGGAGCAAAGTGACATTAGAGAAGGAGAAAAATATTTTTTCCCCTCAAATGTCACTTTTGCTGCAAACGAACGAACGAAACAAATAAGAAACGAATAAGAACAGAAAACAAAACGAACGTTCGTACTAACGCTACCGAATTTCGTCCGAATCCGAATTCCGAATCCGAATTGACTTTCACACCCGAATCCTGAAAAACGAAATAACACAAATCCGAATTTAAAACTAAACGAAACGAATTTTTTGGCAGTGCACATGTCTAGTAAATATGCATTTATTCTACACACCCTCGAAGCTAAAGAAGCTTTTTAAAGTAATGTATGTATTTATTTTTACAGAAACATCCCTTTTTCTGGCTACCAGGCGCCTGCACACTATGTCCTATGTGACAATATTGTTTTTCGCACTTGTAATGCAGGTGTACTGATGTCAGCACAGCTTCCCAGAGCCCTCTGAAGAAACAAAAATAGATTTTTTTTAATGATTTAATATATTTTTATTGTTATTGTTGTTTCACATCAAAACAATTATACCGACTACATACAAACTTTCAGGCCTCATTCACACTGCCGCGCATATACACGCGTATTGTACCATATGCAACATATGCAAATAAATGGCTCCATACACACAGCCACGTATGGAGCCGTATATTTGCGTAGCGTATATATGCTCAAAAATAGAATGGAACAGAGATGCGTCTGGACAGCATATTTCTGCGTATATACGCGTGTTTACGCGCATATACGCGTGCATGCGTACAGCACATTAAAAATTCCATGACGAGTGATGCATTCTGGGATTGCATATAGTGCACGCATATACGCTCATATATACGCGCATAGACGCGTATATATACGCAATATACAATTTTGCTTGCGTTGTGTGTCAATGAGGCCTTAGACATCTATTTGTTGTTTCATATCATAAATAAACATATTCTAATTAACAAACATCTAAAACATGACTTTCGCTATCAGTCATTGCCGAATCCTTCATATTACAATCCTTCCTCAATCATTCTCAAACTCATAACTCAACATTCCCTCCTCTACTCTCTCCTCACCTTCCATCCCTGACTTGTTGTAGTGCAATCCCTTTACTCCCTACTCTATTTATGTGTTTTGCCATTGTGTGTAGTCCGTTCTACTAATCTATATACACTAACATTCACTTATTATATTAAAACCCCTTTATTCCCTATCCCCTCCTCCCCTTCCCTCTAATAGGGATGTTTTCATTATCCTTACTAAAAAAACAGCTTAAAAAGAGCCCTGGATCTATCCAAATGACTTAACCCTGTGTTGTGCTACCCTTACCCACTTTGAACATTACTCCCTCATTATAACCACTATCAGGGGCGTAACTAGAAATCACAGGGCCCCATAGCAAAATTTTGTATGGGGCCCTGTGATTTCTAGTTACACCCCTTGAAGAGCCCACATAGCTCTCTATGGTGGGCTCTGCAGGGTCACCCTCAGGTGGGCTGGTCACACTCCTTACCTGTCCTATCCCTTCCCTCCATCTCAGATGAGGATATTTTATCCTCCTTTCTAATTGTCTTTCATATAGGTCGAATGCAATATCACCAGTTAGTATATATAGAAAATACAAAAACTAAATATGTTATTTAAGTATGTCAGATGTTATCAATATCCCATCTATTACTTCTAAATTCTTACTATATTGCTGTCCTTCTTTATTAATTTCTTATATTCCTCTGACTGTCTATACGTCTCCCACTTTTCCCACACCCTATCATAATTAACCTTCCTGTCTGCATCCCTTGCACATAGTTCCTCCATATATCTTCCATTATGTTCCCCCAACTCTCTACTGTGGGTGGTGCCATAGACTACAATCCACATGAAATACCTACTCTGGCAGCGGCCATTACAAATCCTAGAATATAGTTTCTTATCTTTTTTAAGGGGCAAGGAACAATGATAATAGTGCCATTAGGGGATCCTTTTCAATATTTGATGCTTCCACAGAACGGTATACTTCAAATACCGATTCCCAAAACGGCTGTATTCTTGGAAAACTCCACCAAATATGCAAGTAGGTCCCCTCCTCCACATTGCACCTCCAGCATCTTTCAGATTTTTCTGGATTTATACGTTTAGTTCCTTCTGGGCACCTGTACCATCTAGACACTATTTTATAAAAAAAATTCTTGAAAGAATGAGGAGGTGACAGAGCCATGGGCCATAGTAAATATTCTTCCCCATTCTTTCTCTGATATTTCTCTTCTCAGATCTTGTTCCCATCTTTTCATATACTTTGTATTTCCTTTAGCCTCTTCTTCCCTCAACAGGCCATAGACCACTGACAGCATATGTGTGATAGGGTCTTTACTCACGCATAGTTTCTCAAATGGTGTGAATGGCCTATTAAGGGTTTTGCGGGCCCTAAGGTATCTTATATAATCTGATAGTTGCAGTGCCTCTAACCAGTTTCCCATTCATTTGTTTCTCCGGTCTTAGCTCTATTTTTAGCTCTTCTTTCCCTATCTCTAGAACTTGCCATACTCGTTCCATGGAACTACTCTCCATGTTTAAGAAGGGAACCGCCTGCATACCTGGTGGAAATTGTGGGTTTCCTATATTAGGCGTCAATGGCCCGGGTCTGGAAGATAGATTATATTTAATAATGGACCTATCCCATACTTGTAGCACCGGTCTTACCAAGAAAGGTAGGGTATGCCCCTTAGGTCTGTTCTCTATTGACAGCCAAAGGAGTTTACTTAATGATATGGGGGGATATATCGCTCTCCAATTTTACTCCACCCTTACTTTGGCTACCATGTATCCAGTCCGATAATCTTACAAGCAAGGCCGCTTTATGATACAGTTCAAAATCCGGGATTCCCAGTCCTCCTCTTTGCTTTGGTCTCATCAGTACTTTAAAAAATAAATTTCTGTTCTTACCATAAAATCCTTTTCTCCGAGTCCATTGAGGGACACGGCTCTGAAGAATTCTGAGACGTAGGGCTATTGTACTGCCTCTAGAAGAAATTAATACTGGGCAAACAATGAAAAGCCTGTCATTTTAAGGACATAACCCCTCCGACCTCACACCTGCCAGTTGTAGCAAGTAGTACAAAGGGGTTTGAGGGGAGGTAGCTGTGTCGCTCAATGGACTCAGAAATAATGATTTTACATTAAGAACAAAATCCTATTTTCTGGATTGTCCATTGACAGCAGTCAAAACAGAGGGTAGGCACTATAACAACTAAGGCACTAGTTCAACAAAAAAATTATTGATCAAAGTACACTTAAATAGGTGGGAGGGTTTATGTCCTTAAAGTGACAGGCTTTTTAATTTGCTTGCCTAGTGTCCATTTCTCCTGGATGCAGCAGCATGACCCTACATTTTAGAATTCTTGAGAGCTGTGTCCCTCAAAGCATGATCGAGAAACATGGTAAGAGTACTCACAACCTTCACGGTCCTGGTTTCAACATAAAAGGAATCCTCAGACAGCAGAAATTGTAGCTGAAATACATAATCAGGTAGGAATGCAAGGACATTTAAAGGAAAGATCCACAGCATGGTGACTGGGAAGGACTGTGACCTTTAAATGAAAGGATGACCATGGGAACTCTGGACCACTGCAGGACGAATCATCACTACACAGACTAGAAACCAATTGCTTCCTGACAACTAGAGAAACTTCAAGGATTTAACCTTTTCTGGGATGAATCTCTCTGCTAGCTAGAGAAACTTCCAGGATTAATATTTTCCAGCATAAATCAACTAGCAGCTCTTGATAGTAGAATCTGACCGAAGAAACAAAACAAACCAAAATAATAAAGCATAAGAGAAGAAGATACCCATTCTTCTGAGGACACTAAGCAAAACTGGCAGGTGTGAGATGGAAGGGGCTATTGCCTTAAAGTGACAGGCTGTAATTTTTTGCCTAGTGTCGATTTCACCTGAATACAGCAGCGTAACCCTACATCTCAGAATTCTTTAGAGCTGTGTCCCCCAATGGATGATAGATAAATATAGTAGAGGGCCCTCTGGGTAGTAATCACAGAGGAGAATGCCCCCTTCACTTTTCATAATGCTCCCATCACTGTCCAGAATTTCCTAAAGGAAGGGCAGAGAGGATAGGTGGGGAAAAAAACCAGGTGGAGGCTGCTTATCAAAGCAAGCAAATGCAAAAACAGGCAGCCCTGACCTTGTCAACAATGCCTGCAGAGTAAGTAAATGGGTGGGTATGCTGAATTACTTGTATTTCAGGTAAGTGGTGGGCACTGTACTTTGTGTCAGAAGCACTATAATAAAAGGTTAAAGGAGAACTAGGAGGTCAGTGATTTACACTCATCCTCGTAGTTAGAGCTGACGTGTGACTGTCACGTACCTGGTATGACCTGAAGTGATGAGGGAGGATCTTCCTTGCAGCTCTCGTCAGAGCACCCCTGGAGTGGTTATAATGCACAGAACAGAAAGAGTCACGAGTGCCTGTGGCGGATGCAGAACTGCTGGTGCTGGTAAAATGATGCGAGTAGCTGGCTAATCTTGGAACCAGATGATCAGCAGAAAGTCAGATGGCAGCAGAGAAGACGGAATCGGAGTCAGACGGACCAGGTCAGCAACTGGCAGGCAGCGAGGTGTATAAAGGCAGAGGCATAGTTACAGGAAAGCCGGATCGGAACAATGCAGACAAGCACAGCCAAATTGGAATGCAGAAGGGTAGCCAAGTCAGGCAGGCGGCAGACAAGCAGAGTTCAGAGACATTTGCACACACATTTACAACAAAAGTTGTGGTGGGGTTTTTAAAGAGGACTCAGAAGATTAGAAATTCGTATAAATTTATTGAAATTCATTAAAATGTTTTCATAACAAAAGTTAAAACTCTGATGAGGAGATTTTGTGACTTTGAAGATACTGGGACTCCGCTGGATTTTTGTAGGGGATCAATGGAGCGGTATAACACTGCATATGAAACACAATGATGTATAAGTTATCCACATTATGAAATGGATTATGAATTATGTATGCAATGTAAAAATAGGCAAGAAGTTTAGGGACTTGATAATCATGTATGTATATTAACATTGATTTTAACTTTTGTTATGAAAATTTTTTAATGAATTTCAATAAATTTATACGAATTTCTAATCTTCTGAGTCCTCTTTAAAAACCCCACCACAACTTTTGTTGTAAATGTGTGTGCAATTGAAAACATTAAGGGGGGGTTTCAGATCACCTAGGTGGAAACTTTTGGGAAGTGCTATTTTGTAGGGTTCAGAGAAATGCCGGGTCAAATCTAAGATATCAATAAGCAGAAATAAAAAATACAGGATACAGCTGATGATCTTCCAGCAACTGGCAGCTGCTACAAGCATCCTTAAATAGGCTGCCTGGCGCCAACAGGTGGAACAGGCGGGCGCACGTGCACGCCGTACTGGAATGCACTTATGTGCAGCGATCCGTGTAACATTTGTTCTACGGACGGCAGCCAGACCTTCCTGACAGTGACATTGAAACTGCCACACGTCGACTCTATTGATCGGGAAGTGAGCGGAAACATACCGGCAATCCGCTCTCTTCCTGCTCCTCTCCCTGCAGAGAGCATGACTGCCAGCCACCGCTCCCAGCAGGGATTCCTTAGCGCTGACTGCAGGGAAGACAGGGGAGGGGGCGGGCACAGCTGGCTCTACCTCTACAGAGGAAGAGCCAGCTGTCCATGAGCCAGCGCGGTGGATCCCGACAATATTGTCGGGATCCGTCTTGGCTGCAGTGCTCTCAGCATATAGCGGGCAATAGTTCTGGGACATGGGAGGGCACAGTATATGTCCTCCTGTGACCCAGAGGAGGACAAAGGGCACAAAAGGTTGCCCCATAGTTCTCCTTCAAGCACAACAAAAATAATAAACAAATAAAAGCTGAACTTACCGTTGTGAGACATCATACATTCTGTCTCGGAACCCATTTACGATGATCGAGGGTCGTTGACCATGTTGGAACTCCCTGGACATCAGATTTTGCAGAGTTCTCTCATCTTGGTGATTATCACAGCAGAAAGCAAGGAGCAGGGACTTCAGACAACTTTCTACTGCAAGATCAAGCTGTGGGTCTTTCAGACGAATGCAAGCACCTACATTTACAATAGAAACATTGGTGACCAATGAAACAAACTAAAAAACAAGAGAATACACTAACACTTGAAACTGGAGATGTGGCCACATAGCATAACCAGAGAGCAGCTGTCTTGTTTAGTTATCAGTTTGACAAGGACCGAGCACCATACATATTTTTCACGTTGCATATAGTCTAATGTGCAAGTGTAATATTTACAGGGTATGTATCAACCATCATAGAGATCACAGTACTGCCCCTGACAATAGTTTTAACTGCTTATCTCTGCAGGACAGAGCTAACTTTATTTTCAGTATTATTCAGAATCAGCATCTACTTACCGCACAGAAATAAGTGACTGAGTACTTGAGAACCCAGAATGTGCATGTGCAATTTAAACTCCATTCACTCCTTATTTTTAAGTGAGAATGTTCCACTGGGATTAAATAAATAGTGGAACAGCAGAAAGGCATCATGGCAAACTCACAAGCCAGCATGTAAAACAACATGTCTCACCACTAAGGAGAATGACAAAGGTTTGGATACACGTCTTCTGCAAAGGATGTGAAAGCCGCACTGCCGCGCCAAGGCACCTCTTATAGTGCGGTCCTAACTCTAAACTATGAGAGTCTCCATCTTGGAGCACATGGGGGCAGAAGATATCAAATTGGGTGCAGGTTTGTCAGGAGGACGCCCAACCTCCTTAAAGGCACAGAAACACACAAGGGATCCCGCACATCCTAATGGCAGCTGAGAAACCCCATGCGTCGCTGCACCAAATCGGTCAAGCAAAACAAACTCTCATAGTTTAGAGTTAGGACCGCACTATAAGAGGTGCCTTGGCGCGGCAGTGCGGCTTTCACATCCTCTGCAGAAGACGTGTATCCAAACCTCTGTCATTATCCTTAGTGGTGAGACATGTTGTTTTACATGCTGGTTTGTGAGTGTGCCATGATGCCTTTCTGCTGTTTTACTGTTCAAAGCCCATTTCGTGTGCACCTTACTGTATCACTGGTAACAAATTGTTGAGTGAGTTTGTCGTTTGTTTTGCTTAAATAAATAGTGGCACACATGTACAGCAAAATAGGGCTAACAATTATTTTCATAATCGATTAGTTGGCCGATTTTTTTTTTTGATAAATCGGATTTTTTAAAAAGAACGAAAGATAAACCATCATTAATTTAAAATGAAATACAGTACACAAATGCATAGTTACAAAAGTTTACTTCAGAAAAAAACTCCATGCACAATTTTTAGGAATAACACTGCACTGGAACGCACTGCATTGCAGCAGCGCGTGTTCCAGGTTGGCCAATCACACTGTGGGTGGAAGTCGTGTTTGGGGTGCCAGTGAAATTAATGGCACCGCAACACACCTCCCACAGCAGAATTTGTCAGGCCGCAAACTAAACTGACTTTTTCACCACCTTTTGAAAATTTTAAAAAATACAGCTATTCCTCACTTTACGACTTACCTGATTTGCGGGGGGGGCGTGGCCGACCGCGGAGGAAGATGGCCGCATAGGAGACGAGCTCCAGATTCATATCCACAGTTACCTGATTTGCGACCACTCGCACTTACGACCAGCTCTCCGACCTTACGTGCGGGAATGTGGCAGCGCGACGTCTCGCCGGCGGAAGTGCTGTACTCTGTTCTCCACTGCGGGTTTCGGTAAGTATTTTATTGACCGATTTACAGTACACTGTAGAGTACATCTGCAACACTATACAGTACTGTACTAATGCAGTACAGTACTGTTTCCACTTCCTCGCTTAACGACCAATTTGTTTAACGACCTGGTCGTAGGAACGGAACTCGGTCGTTAAGTGAGGAATACCTGTAATGGTATTTTAAGCACATGGTGCTTGAATAGTTTTAGCCCGGGAATGACAGCTGCTGGCAGGAAGAATCCGCAGACGGCAGCTGAATGTAAATACAGCAGGTAGTGGGCTGGTGCAATAGCCAGCCTGCTATTGGCTATTTCAAATTGCAATAGCCAATAGTAGGCTGGCGATCGGAGGGGACACAGAGCAAATGAAACACTGGCTCTCAGCACGGAGGAGAGAAATAAGATTGGAAGGGGTTATTCCATTTTCCCAAATTCACCTGAAAAGGGGAATTACCCTTTAATTCTTCAGCATCTACACAAATCTCAAATATGAGCTTTAGGTGAACTGATGAAAACCCTAACTGAATGATATTTAGATATTTAGTTTGATCAAGAACCGTGTATCAGAAACAATCACAATCTTATAAAATACTTGTTTTGACTTATTTTTAAGGGTTCATGTATGCAGCCAATATTTTTTGGCATACGAGACATGCATATATGCTTTTCCTCTGTACTCCATTTTTCTATTTTACTTATATTTTTGCAAAATAGTGACCAGAGAGAGGAAGGAAAACAAAGCAGCAACATGTACACATACCTCATGCTATCTACATCTCAGAGGAGAAATGTGACAGGAATATTCACATAACATAAAACCCATTCACCAGATGTAGATCAGGATAGAATATCATACAACATACCTAACGGTCCAATGGGTTTTTCCTTGAAGCGCCCCTGTCTGTAGGCATCATCAATCGCTGCCAAAAGGGATGGCATATTTGGTCCAAATCTCCTCAGTCTGTCTGTTCTGCTGTCCTGAAACTCCTTTATTTGCCTTTTCAGTCTTTCGATCTGGTGTTTCAGATCACGTTCTTCATTACTGTTGACAATCAAACAGTCATATAAGGTGAAAGATCTTTGATGTTAAAAGTGAACAGCAGAAACACCAACAAATTGACCAAGTAAATGTGAAAACTGAAAAGGGAACCTACAGGAGCTTGCTTCGCTCTTCTTTGTCCCTGTATATGGCCTGCTGGAACTGGCCCATCTGCTCCGTAGTTGTGACCTCCTGAGCGTGTAGTTCCTTTACTTTATGTTTCTGTAGTTGTATTTGTCTCAGTCTCTTTTCTTCATCAGAGGTATTATCAGTACTACAAAACAAACACACAAAACATATTGTGAAGCCATTATCTTTATTAATTATAGGCAGATATCCAGGGGCCATCGAAACCCAACTCCAGGCAGATGCATGCAACCATCGTTTAGCCCAGTTATCATGTACACTTACACATTTACTTAAGAGTTTATAAAAAAAAAAAAAAAATCATTACATAACTTTGTCTTGCTATTAGCACCCTGTAACTTCCTGCACATCAACAGCTATGCACTGCTGCTCCTTCACTGTCCAACCAAAGGCTGAGGTCTCTCCTCCGATCACTGGACCCGGAAGTGATGTGCATCCCATCACTACCGGTGTCACCGTTTACATTCTCCGACACCTAGAGCCAGGAGAAGAAGCTGGCGAAGCAGATTCCCGCTTCATCAGAGTCCCTAGGTGACATTAGGTGTCTGAAATTTAAAAAAAAATAAAGTAGCAGATAAAAAAAATGCAAAAAAGTTTTTTTTTTCAAGTCACCCGCCCCCATGTACACGCACATACAAGCGCAAACACACGTCGGGTGTACCTTCATTCAAAAACAAAAATTGCGCTACACATGTTACATATCGCCGCGAAGATCGGAGTGAGAGCAATAATTCTAGGGGGCCTTTGCTTTCAGAAAATGTATCATTGCTTGGGGGTTTTAAGTGATGGTAATATAACAGCATGTGTGCATGTTTGTCTATGATACATGCAGGAAGTTCTCTATGTATGCTGTATAATGCTGTATTTTGATATAATGTTCTTCTAAGCAAGTAAAACTTAATTCAGCTTTCCTCAAGATCTCAGTGCTTCATCTAAACACATAACCAACAGATTATGGGCCCAGACACTAGAATAGTGTCTGGGCCCATACTGCAAGTCAAAAGGAGCTGCACCCAAGCTACTAAAATATGGCAAGTAGTTCAGATATGAAGTTTGCAATCGCAAAGCTCAATACCAACTACCAGCTATGGAAGTTCAAGCTTGAAATGTTGCTAAGCAAAGACGACATGTGGCAAGTACAGAGTACAGATAGATCCAGTAATGGACCCTTGGAGGAATGGGACAAGAAGAACAGGCAAGCAAAAGCAATGATAACTCTGCTAGTGGAAGACGACAAGCTCATCTATATAAGACAACAAAATACAGCTAAAAGGTATGTAGACTGCATTACAGAAACTGCATGAACGTTCAAACCTAAACCGTAAACTATACCTGCTACGCAAGCTATATAAGATGAGACTAGAAAAAAGCCAGTGAAATATGTGAATGCCATGCTGGAAATCATAGAACAGCTACATGCAATTGGAGAGAAAATGAAAGTTAACCATGTGGCGGCATTACTGCTATGGAGCCTTCCAGTCATACAGTGCTCTAATTAACACTCTAGAAACCAGACCTGAGCAGGAACTAACACTAGAATACGCCAATGAATCAATGAATATGACAGAAGGAAAGAAAATATTCACAAAGAAGAAAACGAGAAAGCCCCTAAGGTGTATGAGAGGGCAAAGCAAAACAAAGAAAGCAGAGCGTGTTTTCACTGTACAAGGACTGGTCACCTGAAAAAAACCTGTTCGATCTGGAAAGCTGAGCAGTGAAAGCGAGGTAAACAGCTAAGATAACTATAAAGGAAACTGCATGCACATCATGGAGCACTACCATTACAATGACTCAGAACAATATACCACGCGGATGATGTATTGACTCAGGGGCAACAAGTCACATGACTAGTGATTAGACCTTTTCACAGAAATTGATTTCAGTGGAAAGGACAAAGTCTTTCTAGCAAACAGGAAAAGTATTATTGCAGAAGGTAACGGTCAAGGATTCTTGAACTGCATCACACCGTCAGGGGACAAGCAGAGTATCCTCATGAAAAATGTACTGTTTGTCCCAGAAATGGACGGAAGCCTTCTATCAGTGAAAACCCTTGCTAATAACGGTCTCACAGTTCCATTCTGAGGTGATGAATGTACAATCCGAAACAATAAGCAAATCCTTGCAAAAGGAAACTTGGATGAACACCTGTACAGACTCATCACCGCAGACAAACAAATCAAGACATCCACACAACAAATGTATCCACCTATGGCACAGATGCTGTATGTAAGCAAAGGCCACACGTACCCCACTTCCACAGGCCACCCAAAGAAAGACTACCACCCCATGGAGCTCATACACAGCGACGTGTGCCGACCAATGAAAACTCCCACATCAGGCAGGAACAGATATCTCCTGACTTTCATTGATGATCATTCCAGGTACACAACTTATCTGATGAAGCACAAGAATGAAATATCAGAAAAACTTGAAGCGTTTTTAGCCATGTCCAGCAACATATTCCAACGTAAATTAGGAATTCAATTTACGAACTAACAACAGAGGGCAATACATCAGTAAGGAAGTGAAATCATATCTGAAGAAACAAGTTATAGTACACCAGACCACCACTCCATGCACGCCTGAACAAAAATGGGAAAAAAAAAAAAATCGCACTTATATAGAAATGGCCAGATGCATGCTGTCTGATGCCAACCTACTTGAGAAGTCCTGGGGAGAAGCAGTCATGACTGCAATATACCTACAGAAAAGACTACCATCAAAAGCACCCCATTTGAAATGTGGCATGGATCGAAGCCTAGCCTAGGGCACATCAGAGTGTTTGGATGTAAAACGTACACATATATTCCAAATGAGAAGCAATCCAAATTGGAGAACACTGCCATAGAAGGTATTCTGGTGGGCTATAGTGAACAGTGCAAATAGTAAGAAATTGCTCTGGCCAGCAAGTGGTTAATGTAAAAGTTTCCTTAACCTCTTGCCGTCCGCCCGTAGTAAAAAAACGGACGGACGGCACTGCAGCATCTGCAATTTTTTTCTGCAATTTTTTTTTGGTGAATTTATTTGGTGAATAAATACCACCAAAAGAAAGCTCTATCTGTCCCCAAAAAAGGGTATAAAATTCATTTCAGTACAGCGCTGCATGACGGAATAAATGTCAGTTAAAGTGCCGCAGCGCTGAATACTGAAAAATGGCCTGGATGGGAAGGGGGTTTAACACCGCGGATGTCAACTGGTTAAAGAAATATGAGGCTGCCATGGCTGACCTCCTGAAAATGCCAGATACATGCTGGTTGTGCTGATCCTTTGTGTTAGAAACTGTCTGAATTAATGACCCAGAACAGGCTTGCACAGAATAATCCCAGTGAAACCAGAATTTTAATCAGCAAACTTATTCTGGGTTGGTAGTTTGAAGAAAATGAGTCAACATCACTACCAGGCACCTACCATTCATAGAGGGAGAAGGCGGCAATGGCAGCCTCCATGCTTCTCTTAGGAAAGTTTTTCTTTCAGAGTAATGTGTCAGGGCATAGAAGCTGCCTTCCATGGCTGGTTTTTAAGGTGCATGCTCTGTATCTGTCAGATGTCTAGATGATATGGCTTGTTCCAGATTAATGAAGAAAGCAAAGGCACAAACAGATCTGGAATGTGCACCTCCAGCAATGATAACTCCCATATTTATATCCCGATAGATTACTTTTAAAGGAATGGGGGGGAAAAAAAAGATTCAAAACCAAACTGGAGCACATCAGAATTTCGACGGTGTATTTAGCCGTTTATCTAGAGATTAGCTTAAGCAACAATGGCAGTCATAGAGATTTATTGGAGGACTGCAGCTGCTATAGTAGGTAAATGTCAGAATTCAGACACAGAAGAGGAATGCTTTGTCTCTGGATTTCCATTAGACATCAAATTCTTTGTATTTCTAGGTTTCGCTGACCCAAACACAGATGACACGTGTTAAGGAAGCCTCCGATTGTTATTTGTAGGGGACTGCAGGCCTGCCTCCTTCCCGTGGCTATGGTCCTTGGCTGTGGAGGGGGCTCTATTGATTGGGAGAGGCGCTTTCCATGGTGCTTTGAGCTGTGTGAGATCCTTTATTTACTATCAATGGATCAGGAGGACCCCAGAGACCTATATTCCAATTATGTGGGAGATACATGGGGACATAAGACTTGAGGGACTGTTCATGGGACCCTAAAACAGCAGAAAGGCATCATGGCACACTCACAAACCAGCATGTAAAACAACATGTCTCATGTTAGGATAATGACAGAGGTTTGGATACACGTCTTCTGCAGAGGATGTGAAAGCCGCACTGCCGCGCCAAGCACCTGTTCATGGGACCCCCCCCCGCCACACCCGACCAGACCAGGCCTAAAATGTTAACATTAGGAAACTGTGCCTCTCAACATTTTCAGCTCTACTTTTTTTTAACAGATAAAGAGATAGAATGCAAAAAACTCATACGGACCTGTTCTTTAACTCTTCAATTCGCATCTGCAGCTGCTGCGCATCTCTTTCCAGTTGTCTCAAGCCCATCATGTGACGATTAAAAACGACCTAAAAACAAAGTTTCAGTTAATGCTGAACTATAGGCAAACAGCTAAATAAACAGATGAAACACATGTCAAAGGATCATGGAAGGTCAACTTTTTACATATCCATTCCTGAGATATACACAGCTTTCCACACAGCACAGCACTGTATGTCAGGACAGGAAACCCGATTGAGTGGGGTAACAAGCCCCCCATGTGATATCATAGAGGAAGTGAGAGATCCTCTTTATGGAGACATCAGGGGTCTTATTAGACCCCCTGATGTCACTTATGTGCCTCACTAAAGCACAGATCGTGCTTCACCAGCTTCTTCTCTGGCAACAGCAGCCGGAGAAATGACAGCCTGAAACCTGCATTGATGAAATACATATCGCTTGTGGTTTCAGTCACTTGAGAGGAGATTGGGGCAGTACATACTCCAGCACCAAAAAAGGGATTGGGAGGCTCTACAGCTGGGCGCTGGCTGGAGAAAATTATACAAAGGTCAATGCTGCTGCAACAGCCATGATCTTGGCATCAGCCATTTCAGTACCAGCCACTGTTTTTTGTTTTTTTTTAAGTTTTGGATGGGGTAAGGGAAGGTTGTTATCCCTGTCGGCTTTATATTTGCCATTTGTGTCCTATTGGGGAGATTTACCTTCAATTTCTATCTGATAGCCACAACAGAAAATGAGAGAAAATTCCTCAAAAGTAAGGGAAACCTCTAGTGTTCAGCAGGGTCATCAGAACTAGTGTTCCCATTGGAAGATTGCCCCTCTATTCCTATTATAATGGCAACCCAAAATTTAGGACTTTCTTTCACTTCCAGTGATAATGGTCACCAGGACAAATAGAGAGGGTGAATCTCCCAAATGGGGACACACAGCAATAAAAACCTGACAGGGTTTCTAAAAAAAATTGGCCTTAGTTACGCATTAACATGTGTAGATGAGCATTCATAAAACAGCACACCCTCATCAACAATCAAGCTGTAATCAATGCTCACTTGTTATGTACATGGCTGCTTGGACAAAATGCACGACAAAATAAGTGAATAAAACAAGTGCTAGCCAACTGAAATCTTTATAAAGCTGAACCTGTGTACACAGCAGGCAATGGACCTTACAGAACAGATCCACCAGAGCTACGGGTAATTCTGACACCAGATGCCTGTTTATACCATCAAAAAGGTAAAAAGTCACCAGCACTCGATTTTTTGAAAGTAAATATGTCCCTTTATTGGACAAAAGACGTCATAGGGGAGCCGACGTTTCGGGGCCACACAGGGTCCCTTCTTCAAGGCAGAAAGAACTTACAATTTAGGATGATGGTGCTCGAAGTGACCAAATCACGGATGGCACCGTGCAAACACAAAGCAAAAAGGTAAAAAGTCACCAGCACTCGATTTTTTGAAAGTAAATATGTCCCTTTATTGGACAAAAGACGTCATAGGGGAGCCGACGTTTCGGGGCCACACAGGGTCCCTTCTTCAAGGCAGAAAGTACTTTCTGCCGGGACTGCTGTAAGGTGTGCGGAGGGCTCCCTTCCATTTCTACACCTGTTTATACCATCAGACTCTAAGAGTTGGTGATGGAATACAAACACACCATGGCAAGAAGAAACGTTCTAGTTGAGGGAACATACCTCTGATTCATGATAGGACTTCTTCTTTTGCTGCACATCATCTTTTAACGCTATGCACTGCGGTTTCAGCGCCTGAGCCTCCTGGCTGATCTCTTCCAGCTTCTCCTGTATAGCTCGGAAATTCTCATCAGCACTGCTCACTTTTTCCTGAAAAAGAAATAAATGGTTTCAATATTACTGCTTGGCGTCAGCTACTGGTCTGAGACATAATACTGAACTGCGACTACATTCGAGGATCAAATGTATCCCTTAATCATGGACTGCTCCTGAAAAACTTTTTGCGAAACCATCAAATATTTCACATTCAAAGTGAACCATGATTACCGCAACCTCAGACCTCAAACAATGGAACCCAGACAGCACATATATTAAGTAGGGATGCACCGATACCGATACTAGTATCGATATCGGTGCCGATTCCGAGTATTTGGGTGAGTACTCGTCCCAAATGCCCCGATGCCTAGCACAAGGACTTCTGGTATCAGGAAGCCGGACAGCGCGTCATTACACGCTGCCCGGTTTCCTGATTGGCCGGGAAGAGGTTCCATGCTCTCTCGTCACTTGTGATGAGAGAGCATGGAGCCGACTTCTCGGCCAATCAGGAAGTCGGGCGCCGTGTAATGACGCGACGCCCTGCTTTTTGATTGGCCGGGAAGCTGGCTTCATGCTCCCTCGTCATCTCAGCTCCGGCTGGGTACTGGAGGAAGGCCGTGTTCTCACTAGAGAGGCCCCGGGGGTGACAGGCTGCACATACCAGGGAAAGAAGAGACTTTCTTGTTAATCGGGAAGCCGGGTGGCGAATCTTTACCCGCTGCCCGGCTTCCCGGCTAATCAGAAGCCAGGTGGCGAGTCATTACACGCCACCTGGATTCCTGAATGGGACTTCCGTTACTCAGTAATTAGTATCGGCGAGTACTGAAAAAAATCGGTGCTCGTACTCGGTACCAAAGTACTGGTATCAGTGCATCCCTAATAATAAGTAAATATAAAAGTACAGTATGTTAATGCGACAACCTCCACCCAAAAAACACTCTCCCTTCAATTCAGAGGTGATCACAGACCACACCAGAAGATCAATGAGGTCACCCAAATTGCAGTCCATTGTTCACCAACTCTAGCCCCACAACAGAAGGTTCGTACCTCTGTATGGACAGGAGTCTGCGGGTAAACAATGCAGGAGCCTTTCCATTACATCTGCAATGAACTAAATCACATTTGGCATGCACATTGCAATGCACATTTTCTATTCTATTAATGTGAGTACATATGGTGTAGATAATTGCCGGCTTTGTATTCTTTGCATACCTATTTTCTCTTTTCTTCCCCAGTCTTCTAACAGTGGCCATGTTAACTAAGGGCATATTACTAGCTCTCCTGTTACTTCCTCAAACTCTGGCAAAGGTCACTAGGACATGTGGTCATGCACATCATTTCAGGGGAGGAAAATGTTTTTCCCCGAGATCTCATAAGATTAAAGATGAGATTTCCCAGCAATGCTCTGCTGATGTAATCTTCCCAGGATGCAACTCTTTGCCACTTACATCATTTGTGTCAAACTCGACCAGGAAGTGCACGAAAAGCAAGTTACACTAATGAATGTAATATGGCTTTAAATCAGCATCCAGAGCTGCATGCTGATGTGATTTTTAGTAGAAGGGGGTAAAAGGTCCAATTTAATGTAGTAAAATACCTGATTGATGGCATTGGCACTGCATGAACTGGAATAGATTTGGATATCTCCATCCGCAAGATCTTACTGACTGCACTTTTGCTGTGGAAACGTAGACTATATATTTATTTTATGCATTCCAGGAATAAGCATATACGTGGGAGCTCTGTGATGCTCTTGTGTCCCTGGCAGCATCAAATCAGCCCAGTTCACAATGAACCAAACCGATCTGTAAGTAAACCATATTGTGAGCACCACAGAAAACCTATGAGCACTCTCCCTTACTCCTGCCAACATGTTACATCTATATATAGAGGGGTTCTTGGTTTAATGCAAGCCATCTATTTACTAACCCTGACCCATTTACAAACAAATTACACCACAATTACTAGATTTCAATGAGCAGCGAATGTGCAGGCATTCCCAGCACCACTTAAAGGAGAACTATGGGGTTAGGGCTTTTCCACATAGTTTTCCTAAGGGTAACGGGAGGACACAAACTAGCATCCTCCCGTCACCCTAAGCTCAGTATACCGCGTGCTACAGCTCGCGGTATACTGAGACACCGCAGCTGAAGCGGATCCCGACAATTATGTCTGGATCCGCCCAGCTGCGTGAGTGGCAGCTGGCTCTGGCTATCTTAACGCAGAGCCAGCTGTACCCGCCCCCTCCCCCGTTCGTTCCGCCAGTCAGCACTGGAGGATCAGAGCGGGGAGGGGGGAATCCAGCCCCTCCCCTGTCACGACTCTCTGCCGTGACAGGATCGAGAAGTGAGCGAATGCCGGTATGTGTTCACTCACTTCACGATCTACTGAGCCGACCTGTGACAGTCTCATTGTCACAGGTCGACTAGAACTATGAGGATGAGTGGAAAGCACTCACCTCATAGTTCTCCTTTAATCTGTCTAATTTGCTCACTACAGTGAAATACAAAATCTAAGAGTGAAATCCCACTTCTGTGTAAGTGGTACTGCCCAGTGGTTGTACTTTATTGTTTCTATTCAGACAGATGTGAGGACCAGTAGACTCGCTGCAGTCTCTCATGGCACAACACTCCAGACAAAGACCATTTCATCAATGCCTAGGCTTTATATCACAAGTTTAGGTATAACAGTTTTACATTTATGGAAAATCAAATGCACTTTTCACTCAAAGTATTCACATGATTTGGTAAAGCAGACATGTACGCCATTGATTCCTGCCACATAATTTCTTCTGAAACAAATGCTAAAAAGGGAGTGGTGAATTCCATATACCTATTTACATTTTTCTTTAGTGAAAACGATTATTTTGTATTAAATACACACGAGAAAAGTAAACTCAAAGGGCAAGTTCACCTTTTCACAAAATGTGAAAAAAGTTAACTTATAGTAGCCTCTCAACTTTCCCCAGTACCCGCCAGCCAGTGTAGTGATCCATACACCATACTCTAAAACTGACAGCCACACAGCCTGGAATAATCATAATGGTCACAAATATTAAGCACTCATTGGTAAGTACGGTCACATGACCAGACTGAATGAGAAGCTCTCAGAGCCGGGGACCAGGTCTCAGAAGTAAGAAGGGTTTCTTATTGGTCAACACAGTCATTTGACTGTGCTGACCAATGAGTGCTTGCTATTTGCGAAAATTATATTTATTGCAGGCTGCGAGGCTGTCAATTTACAGATCATTAAACCAGCTGGCAAGGTCATCACAGTGGGGACAGGTGGAGGTGGGGAGGCTGCTGTGAGTTTATTTTTTTACATTTTGTGAAAAGGTGAACTTACCCTTTAATGAAAAAATAAAAACTTGCAAAGTTGTTTAAGTTGAATAAAGACACAGGTCCAGTGAATTCAAGCCGTGTGGTTTTGTGTGTCTGAGTAAAAAAATTACTTTTGTTTTTGTTCTCAATTGTTGACTGGGTAAGTTTTCACAGTTTGTATGCAATACCTGCCATTCGTTGATGATCTGCTCAAAGTTTACTGTGCGCCCCTCCTCTGCAGCGATTTGTTCCCTAACTGGGTTTAGCTGCTTCTCCAGCTCAATCACCTAGAATATAAAATGGACAGGCAAGGCTTTGTTACCGAGCACAAAAAGGCACATAACTGTGGCCTGTAAAGAAAAGACATGGATGGATATAATTCTATATTCCGCCTATCCTATTATAGTCTAAAGCAACTACAACAGGGTAGAAAAAATGTCTCCTACCTTTAAGCACTGCAGCCTCCACCAGTTTTATCGGCACTCAACACTTCCAGGAGTGTTAAAGTGACATTAAAGTCAAAAACTTTTTTTCATAGTTACATAGTTACATAGTATTTGAGGTTGAATAAAGACACATGTCTAAAAATCCGAACAGCGCATGCGCCCGCCCCAAGATGCTTTGCAGTCGCCCGAGCATTTTCAAATTTTCCAGCGGGAGCGTGTGGCGAAGACGGGGTAAGATTAAACCGCTTTAACAGTGTTTAAAAAAAAACTTTTTGCATATATCTACTGCTTGCTAGCACTAAATATATGCAAAAAAAAGTGAGAGTTTAGAAACCATTTAACCCCTTCGTGACTGACGACGTACAGTGTACGTCGCCAGCATCGGGGCTGTTTAAACAGACTCCCGGCGACTTTTGCCGCCGGGAGTCTGTTTAAACTTGTAGTGCATTCAGAAAATATATAATGTTGGGGGGTTTTATGTCATTTTCAGTCCTAAAATGTGGAATATAACATGGGTGCAAAAAATGAAAAAAGGGCCTCAGTCATGAAGGGGTTAAACGCCTGTGTACCCCCCCAACAACCCCTATGGCACTACAGAACAAAGACGATATTGACTGAGGTTTCAGTGCTGGAATGGAGGGAAGATATAAGATACAGGCAGCTGGAGAGGTGAGAACAGTGGCTCTTCTATTGGAGATCACCTACCTTCAAGATTTGTACCCTGGTAGGGTCACTTAAAAAGGGAGACTGACATTTCCTATTCCATTGTTAAAGATGCTGCCTTCAGTATGGGTGTTCAGCACTGAGACTCTCTAACACAACTCTGGTAAGATTAAGCACTCAGCAACATCATGTATGTGTGTGTGCGCTATGTGTGGATCTATGGTTGTCTTGGGCAACTTTGCTCAGTTTTTAAATGTCTATGATGGTGGTTTGTTTATATTCCTTCTCTAATTATAATGTTTTTTTCTTGTTTTTGTTAGAATGTAGTACATTTTCCTTACTATTAAATTATTTGAGAATAATTTACTAAAAACTTTACTATAAATTTTTTTGGGGAAAATGCGGTGGAAACTATTTCACATGTTTGTCCTATAACAGGGGTAGTCAAACTCCGGCCCTCCAGCTGTGGTGCAACTACAAATCCCATTAAGCAATGCAAGACTGACAGCCACAGACATGACTTCCAGAGGCAAATGCATGAAGGGATTTGTAGTTTCACCGCAGCTGGAGGGCCAAAGTTTGCCTACCCCTGTCCTATAAGGTTCCAGCTGATTATTTTTGAAGGGGTCTTTCTTTAATGCCAAGTTTATGATATTTAACTGAACAGAGCATGTATCAGTTATATTCTACAATTAGCACAACCAATTCACATTACACACAAAGCTCACTAGCTAGTTTGTGCATTAAGATCTCAGTTACTATTCTCCACCGCTCCAAGCCTGATCCCTTTAAGAACTGCAATCGCAATACAAATTAGTAAACTAAACCAGAGACTGTAGTCCATCACAGGAGTGAGCTTGGAGCGATGACTATTTTACAACACACACAGGGACCATGAGGAACAAAAGTAGCCCCCCTCCAGAAGGAAGGACAGTGTCAGCACCAATTCAGAGATGATTTGAGGGTCTACAGCCGAGTGATACACAAATAAAAAAACAGGCATTTCCCAGCACACTCACCAGCCAGCCTGCAAATAAAGTACACTGTCCAACTACTAAGGATAAAAACAGAGGTTTTATTTGCCAACTTTTGCAAAATATATGGAAGCCGCACTGCCTTGTCAAGACCCCTCTGTGTAGTGTGGTCCTAACTCTAAGTTATGTAAGCCTCCATCTTGGAGCATATATAGCAAAGTATGGATTGGGTGCAGGTTCGCCTGGAGGCAGATCAACCTCCTTAAAGGCACAGGGACACACCAGAAGCCCAGCACATCACAATGGCAGCTGAAGCCCCC